CCATGCATCCAATTCTCCCCAGCAGAATGTGAGGTGAGGCTTTTGAGAAGTGGGTGTATCTCCCCCACAGGCTCTTCCCCCCTTCTTGTGGCCTGGGAGGGCAGGGAGCAGGGCAATGTTGGAAGCCATGTGTTGAAGGTAGGTAGAGTCCCAGTTCTTGACCGATGGCATGAGGAGAATTTGTTGCCAAAATGAACACCTAACCTGGACTGTTCTATGAGAGAGAGATACATTTCTATATTCCTTCAGCCGTTGCATTTTTATTACACATTATAATTATAGTAGCTTAGCCTACCCTAAAATGAAAGGTTACGCTAAAGCAAGGCTGAAGTAACCAAGGTTCCAGAATGAGGGAAGCATGAGTCCCAGTGCCCCAGTGCCATCATCTGCCATGTGTGACATGGTTAATGTCCTAGTTGGTGGTGAAGGTGATACCACCACAGCGATCTGGAAATGGAGAAGAGGAGTACCATGTTAAGAAATTCTGGTTGAGACACTTTCAGGGGACTCTCATGAGTATCTGGAGGACAGGAATCAGTGATGCTCTCATGCAGCAGATCGGGGAAGAGCTAGAGAAATACTATTTTAAACTACTCTTGTGATCCCTTGGCAAATGTGGTTCTGTCTGTGTGAATTTGATCATTATCATCTGCCCTGTCCGTCTGTATGGCTTCAGTGGCAATCCCCTTCTATTTTCATTAGGCCAATAAATCAGATAAATTAGCTGGTTAGAAATATGAATAAAGTTTTAAAGTGGGTATATTCTGAGTGGGAGGCCAAGATATCCAAAGTATAAAGTACATAAAAGTCAGTGGGATTACTACTTGAAAAATGTTGTTTGATGCTCACTTTGCTTTGTTTTGTTTCCCAAGAGTATACCTGATGTTTCCTATGGTACCTGAAACAAAAGACATTCGCAAAGATATTTACTAAAAGAATTAATGAACTGGGCTAACTTATATACAAGACTGTAATTTCCATTCTTCCTAATTATTTGGTAATAAACCTCTTTTGAAAGTGGTCACAATGAACTGGTAGTCATATTTAAATCTTGGAACGCAGGGTGTCTGGGTGGCTCAGTCAGTTAAGCGCCTGCCTTTGGCTCAGGTTATGATCTCAGGGTCCTGGGATCGAGCCCCGCACTGGGCTCCCTTCTCAGTGGGGAGTCTGCTTCTCCCTCTCTGTTTGTGTTCCCTCTCTCGCTGTGTCTCTCTCTCTCTGTCAAATAATAAAGTCTTTAAAAGAATAATAAATAAATCTTGGAATGCTTTATGTACTATCTTTTTTGTGACTAGAGAAATGTGAATATTTTAATTTACAATACATTATTTATAAGTAAAAGATTCTTCAAATGGAATCTTAGAATCATTTAAATATCAAAATGAATTTATATTCCAAGAAAATATACTCTTATAATTAGGCAAGTTCTTTTGGAGATTATGGAATCTTCTGTGATATAAAACCACAGTATCTAAAATTACATTCTAGTTTACATAGTGCATGGATCAGATTAGCTTATTTAACAAGCCAGCACCTGCTTTATTATTACTCAAAATCCATAAGGCTTTTACAAAGCCTTAGCATTTCAGAAACCCAGACAGTCATGTGATGGTGTTCTTAGCTTTACTCTCTCAAAGGAATTAGAGGATATTTTAAGCCTGAGTGAATACTGTAAAATGAATATACCCATAGGCTAAATTTACTATCAAAAGACCATGCTCCATTTAATAGGTATGCATTTATCTACCCTTGATTGCAAAAGTAGGCCTCAGTTCATGATCTTTTAACATTTTTTTAAGAAAAGAAGTTTTTATGATTTATATCCTTAGACAATGAAATTGACTGAAATCCCCAAACAAATAAAGCAAACAAAAAGTGAACAGCAACTGTGAAACAATCCTTCTGATTTCCATCAAGAAATTGAGAGCAATGCACAGGCCCTGAATATATAGGGGAATATCATGTTTTCGTGGAAGGAGGCATGTTGCTATAGATTTATGAGTCATGGTAATAGCAGTGATGGCATATTAATTAAAACATATTGGGGTGCTTGGGTGGCTCAGTTAGTTGAGCGTTTGGATTTTTTTTTTTTTAAAGATTTTATTTATTTGAGAGAGAAAGAGAGCACGAGCGGGGTGAAGGGCAGAGGGAGAAGCAGACTCCCTGCTGAGCAAGGAGCCTGACGCAGGGCTTGATCCCAGGGCCCTGGGATCATGACCTGAGCCGAAGGCAGACACTTAACTAACTGAGCCACCCAGGCACCCCAAGCGTCTGGATCTTGACCCCAGCTCAGGTCTTGATATCAGGGTCACGAGTTCAAGCCCTGTGCTGTGCTCCACACTGGGTGTGGAGCCTATTAAAAGAAAAAAAAAATTCTTTTTCTTTAAATTGTATCTTTATATAACTTATTCTCTCTATGCTAGGACCAGTGTGATATTATAACAACAGTGGTATTAACAGTATTATATATGTTAGAATATTGATATAAGTGCATAATTACATTTGCATGATGAAAAGAAAAATTATGTGATATATTAATTCGATAGATATTACTCAGGGCCTTTTAGAAACAAAGCCCTTTTACATGAAATAGGTATAAACCTGATGTCGAGGTGTTCCTACCACCAAGAAGCTTTCATGGGAGGGATTAGTAAAAGAATACATAAAAGGGTAAGAATTGGTGATAACCAGCATGTTTGCTCCACCATGTAACTACTAATATTTTATTATATATTATATATTATTCATTTGCCTTGTATGAATTAAATTTCTTCACTTCCAAAGGAAAGCCTTCCCGAATTAACTCCTCCCCCTCTAAAGGTCATATATAATCTTTGTGCTCCATCCTTTTTCTTTGTAGCATATCTGAGAAATGGTTTATATAACATCTACCCCTGCTGCTTAGAGTATAATAACCAACAGGGACAGAAACCATCGCGTTCACCATCATGTTGCCAGCACCTAGCACTCTGGGTCTGGTAAAGCAAGAACAGAGGAAGACTTTTGCTTAATAGTTTCTTTCTTTCTTTCCTTTTTTTACAGATTTTATTTATTTGACAGCGAGAGAGAGAGAGCACAAGCAGCGGGGGAGCAGGAGAGGGAGAAGCAGGCTCCGCGCTGAGCAGGGAGCCTGATGTGGGGCTCTATCCCAGGGCAAAGGCCACCCAGGTGCCCCTGCTTAATAGTTTCTTAATTCTGGGGTCTCAGTCGGTTAAGCAGCTGCCTTTGGCTCAGGCCATGATCTCAGGGTACTGGGATCAAGGTCTGCATCGGGCTCCCTGTTCAGCCAGGAGCCTGCCTCTGACACTCTCCCTGCTATCCCCCCTCCCCCGCCACTTGTGGCCACTCTCTCTCTGTCTCAAATAAATAAATAAATAAATAAACTCTTTAAAAAATTAGTTTCTTAATTCTAAGGTCTGGATTGATGCAAGACTCAAACAAGTAACTTTGGACTGCAAATAGCAGTTTGTAACATACAAAATAGTCTATTTTGTCAAAGTTGTTCTCAGACTTATCAGAGATTAAACAATTTTCCAACATTTCTTAATTTCAGATTCTTTGAATTATAAAGCAATTAATGCCAGTCTTTAAGAAAAAATGAAAAATTACATATGCCTAATGATTTCAATTATAACCACACTAAGTAAATCCAGATCATAAAATGCTAAAATATGCTTCATAGGGAAAAAAAAAAAATCTTTGCTGAGTCTGAAAAGAAATAAACATCGCTGAATTTCAGACCACCCGAAGAGAACTTTATTTTCTGACCATTATTATTCACTCAAGTCCATTCACCCAAAACATTCATTCTACACCACATTTCAGAGACAACAGAGACCTTCTAATATAGAATTCTTTAGAAATAGTATAGAGTTGAAAAGATTTCTCCCATTTCATTAACATTATGCAATAATTTGGTTACTTCATAATGATTTTTCCCCACTAAAAACAAAAAGGAACAAAATGTGAGAAATCAATAGAAAAACTCCCTCTTTTATCCAACCCAGATGGCTCAGTTATGGGATTTTTCCCACAGCTGTGCCAAGTAGAAGCATGCTTGAAAATAAGCTAGTTGAAGTTCAATCCAAAGTGAATAGAGACCATGGCTGAATAGAGTTCTTTTTTTAAAAAAGGGGCATGTGTTTGGGGTGAATACATGAGGCTAGAATTGATTTGGGCTTCCTCAACTTCTTCCCCCATTGCCCCATTTAAGACTATCTTAACTTTGTACAGCTCCCCCAAACTCAGATGTCTGGGGGTTATACTTTCAGATGGTGAAGCTGCTGCAACACGGTTTACCTGCAGATCCCAGGCATCACTGCCAAAGATCTCACGGATTAATTAGCCTGTAGGTTTGAAGGACTGTAAGTAGAAATGGAAGTCTCTGTCACCCTACTTCCTTGGTCTTCCCCAGTGATTGTGAATCACAGAAGCCCCAAGTATCTCAACCCTGACCTCAGCAGTTTGAGGAACTTGAGAGAAGGCAAAAGTGCAAAAATGTTTAAAAACTAGGTGATAATTTAAAAGGAGTGTTGGAAAGAAGATGTAAAAAGCAGGATCTGCTCATGGGAACTGTTCCCGGGAGCAGAATTTAGGAAGGAATGACCTCTTAGTCCAAAATAACTCTCTCCATCTTTACTGGCTGAGAATTCACAGTTCACTTTTTTATACTGTTTAAAGCACTATTGATTTATTTGGGATAATAAATATTTGTGAGAAAGACAGTTCCCTTAGAACCACACAGAATTTCTCAGGAGGGGCCCAGGGAGAGGGAGAGAATCTCAAGCAGACACCCTGCTGAGTGTGGAGTCCAATTCGGGGCTCGATCCCACCACCCCGAGATTGTGACCTGAGCTAAAACCAAGAGTCAGACGCTCAACTGATTGAGCCACCCAGGTGCCCCTGAAATGCGCTACTTCTAACACTAAATTGTCACTCTACCTAAAAATAAATAAATAAATAAAAAATAAATGATCACTCTACCTTCTTCTTTCCCTAAGTGTTCCCAAAGCCTTGGCCCATCATGTTTCCCACGTGAAGTATTCCAAGGACTGGCACCATTCTTTAGGCACTGAGGTACCACCATTCCATCTATCTTCACACAGACAATCCCATCTTGCTATTTCCACAAGTGAGCTAACCTAGCTACTACTGGATATGCTCCTTTCTCCAGGTGACAGGCAAGACTACGATGGACATAGAACAGGAAAAATTTCATTCTTAAGGTAAGATACACTCTTTTACATACAACTTGTAGTTTTATATTCTAGGCTCAACAGCATACTTTGAACATACAGTAATCATTCAAACAGTAAGAATCAGCCTTTATACCACATGGGAGAACACAGTGTTCTAGAGAAGCAAAGACTGGTAGGAAAAAACTCCAGAAAGAATAAATCTCTGTCATGACTGAAAATGAGCCTGGGATATCAAATTACTTCCCTTCAAAAGCCTGTGCAATCAACCTCACCTAGAGAACTGAAGTTCACATTTGGGTGAGTGGAGAGAGACGAGTGACAGGTCACAGGATACTTGGGGATAAGAAAGGGCTGGCTGAGTGCCAGGGTGCAGGACAGCCAGAAGGCCCTGGGTAAACACAGTCAGAGGAACAAAGAGGCAGGAGTAAGGTGAAGGAAGGTGGATGATTCTGAAGGGAAATTTCATTGACGGAGGGAATTTTGTGTATGGCCAGCCCTACAACACAGGAACTAAGAGAAAGTCTAACTCAATATCCTTACCCTTATAATTGTATCGTGTAATTTTGTTAAAGTATTATTTTTCTACAAGACCTTCCAAGTTGTTAATTAGTCCATGTACATACAAATGTTTCTAAAACAAACTATTTGTTATTTGATGTCCATCTGCATACCTAAACTTATATTAAAAAAGTACAATGTGGTAAAAACTATTACTTTTCACAATAACATGATACCTCTTAATTATTTTCACCTTGGCTATAGATAAAAATTACTTGGGGATTAAAAAAACATATTTAGGGGCACCTGGGTGGCTTAGTTCAGTGTCTGACTCTTGATCTCAGCTCAGGTCTTGATCCCAGCCAGGTTCATGAGTTCAAGCCCTGCATTGGGCTCCACACTGGGCATGGAGCCTACTTAAAACAATAATAATGAAAGGATATAACATAATAAAACAAGTGTTAGATCTTCATTTAAAGAGGACTATTGGAAACCTTTGAAAATTAAAACAATATTTAAAAATAAAACTATTCAACTCCATCGACTTTTGTGACTTTTCAAGATCTTTTGAAGATTTTCTTCCCCATTTTACCTACAGAATTTGGAACTGTGGTTTTAAAAAAAAGGAATCAGTTTATATTTAATCTGATAGCCAACACACACCTGTCAGAATGGCTAATATCAACAACACAAGAAACAACAGGTGTTGGTGAGGCTGTGGAGAAAGAGGGACCCTCTTGCACTGTTGATGGGAATGCAAACTGGTGCAGCCACTGTGGAAGACAGTAGGGAGGCTCCTCAAAAAGTTAAAAATAGAACTACACTATAATCCAGCAACTGCACTACTAGGTATTTACCCAAAGAATACAAAAACACTAAATCCAAGGGATACATGCATCCCAACGTTTATAGCAGCATTACCTACAATAGCCAAATTATGGAAACAGTCCAAGTGTTCATCGATTGATGAATGGATAAAGATGTGGTATATATACACAATGGAATATTAGCCATCAAAAAGAATGACATCTTGCCATTTGCAATGACATGGATGGAGCTAGAGAGTATTGTGCTAATTGAAATAGTCAAAGACAAATACCATATGATTTCACTCATATGTGGAATTTATTTATTTTTAAAAAAGATTTTATTTATTTGACAGAGAGAGACATAGCAAGAGAGGGAACACAAGCAGGGGGAGTGGGAGAGGGAGAAGCAGGCTTCCCGCGGAGCAGGGAGCCCGACACAGGGCTCGATCCCAGGGTCAGACCTGAGCCGAAGGCAGACGTTTAACGACTGAGCCACCCAGGCACCCCATATGTGGAATTTAAGAAGCAAAACAAACGAGCAAAGGGGGAAAAGAAAAGAAAGAGAGAGAGAGGCAGGGGTGCCTGGGTGGCTCAGTCGTTAAGCATCTGCCTTCGGCTCAGGTCATGATCCCAAGGTTCTGGGATCAAGCCCTGCTTCAGGCTCCCTGCTCTGCAGGAAGCCTTCTTCTCCTCCCACTCCCCCTGCTTGTGTTCCCTCTCTCATTGTCTCTGTCAAAATAAATAAATAAAATCTTAAAAAAAAAAAAAAAAGGAAGAGAGAGAGAGGCAAACCAAGAAACAGACTCTGAAGTATAGAGAACAAACTGAGGGTTGCTGGAGGGGAGGTGGGTGGGGAGATGGGCGAAATAGGTGATGGGGATTAAGTAGTGCACTTGTGATGAGCACCAGGTTTTGTATGTAAGTGTTGAATCACTATATTGTATACCTGAAATGAATATTACACTGCATATTAACTGGAATTTAAATAAAAAGTTAAAAAAGATAAAAGATGCCTATTGGAAACCTTTGTAAGTTAATACAATATTTTAAAATAAAACTACTCAACTCAATCTATTTTTGTGACTTTTCAAGACCTTTTGAAGACTTTTCTCATTTTACCTACAGAGTTTGGATCTGTGGTTTAAAAAAAGAATCAGTCTATATTCTGATAGCCAAGAGACAGACAAAATTTCATGTATTTGTATAATGCAATTCAATAAATTTTTGTAATTTTTCAAAAGAATTTCATCTTTTTACATTTGTATTATATTTCTGAAGTAACATCTCTCATGAGCTTTTATTTTTATTTTTTAAGGATTTATTTATTTCTTTATTTGAGAGAGAGAGAGAGACAGTGAGCGAGCTGCACAGTGAGGGTGGTGGCAATCAAGTGTTTTGGTAGCTGTAGCCTTTCTGATTTTCAGCTGTTCTATCACTGGGGATTGGGGTGGAGGTAGCTAGGCCTCCCTCCAATTTACTACTTAACAACATTTCCTTTAATGGAAACAACCGTTTCTGTCCCTGTTTTTAAAAAATCTATTTCCATTGGCACTACAATTGGTCAAATTCTTCTTAGATATTAGCAAAAGCCCAAGTTAGCCTATTAGGTTTAAATGTTACTGTGAGAATTTTTTTTCTTTGTGTCTGTTTTCCAAAGCATTTGCACTGGAAGCTAGAAAAGGACAAGATAGCTGTGGTTGGCTAGCTATATCTTAGTGTGAAAATTGTAGGAATGCTTTTGTTGACTTCATAAAGGTCAAGGGGTACTGTAATTCACATTCTAAAATTTTTGAAGGAACTGTGCTAGACATTCATTACCACACACCCCAATTATATAACCTTATTTAAATTTAACACTTGTTTTCTAAAGTGGATTCACTGTAATGGTCATGCGATGATCATGAAGAAATTGGTTTTAGAAAACGTAAGGAAGAGTATAAGTCACTTAATTATAACAGCATCAATTACTTCAATTACATACTGATATGTATTTAACATATAAGTAAACTTGGCATATCAAAGTTAGGTTTATAAAAGAATATTCATCACCTACCTTAAGGTAAATGTAAGTAGATTTATTTATTTATTTCATTAAAGGATAATGAACTGTCCCAAGTGATTTTATTTAACTGTCCTAAGTGAAATTTGTGATTTTTATTTATCAGTACTTGATTGGCAAACCAAATAACTCAAGACAAGATGGATACACATGTATTCACTGTATGTCAGTTAAAATTAACTTTTAAAATGATTGTCAAAGATCTAAAAACTGGTATCTATTACTACTTTTTTTTTTTTTAAAAGATTTTATTTATTTATTCATGAGAGACAGAGAGACAGAGGCAGAGGGAGAAGCAGGCTCCCCGCGGAGCAGGGAGCCTGATGCGGGACTCGATCCCAGGACCCTGGGATCAGGACCTGAGCCGAAGGCAGACGCTTAACCGACTGAGCCACCCAGGCGTCCCTCTATTACTACTTTTAACCTATCTTCCATGCGAACACATTTTAAAAACCAATGTTAATGATAAAATAAGTCTTATTTGATATCACAGTGTATTTCAGCCAGAAGTAGTTCACTCACAAAGTCAATCTGGGAATCTGGGTAAAGATGATAAACTGAATATACACATTTAATTGCATCCTTACCACAAATCTCATTAAAACAACAGTAAAAGTGATGTTTTAAAAAGATATTAAGTCCACGGGCGCCTGGGTGGCTCAGTTGGTTAAGCGACTGCCTTCGGCTCAGGTCATGATCCTGGAGTCCCGGGATCGAGTCCCACATCAAGTTCCCTGCTCGGCGGGGGGTCTGCTTCTCCCTCTGACCCTCCCCCCTCTCATGTGCTCTCTGTCTCTCTCATTCTCTCTGTCTCAAATAAATAAATAAATAAATAAATCTTAAAAAAAAAAAAAAGATATTAAGTCCAGAAGAATACAGAAGAGAAGACAGTGTCGAAATTTTTGGAGGTAGGAAGGAAGTGGATGAGTAGCAACTGACTTAGGGGGCCTGAAAAAACTGAGTATTAAGCTGACAGTGGGAAAAACTGAGAAGCAATCCAACTTGACACCGCAGAGCTCCAGGAAGGCTCAAGAATTGGTGACACAATTCTTGGCCACTAGGGCAAAAGACAGGAAGAATGGCTGTTAAGTCTGCCTAAGGAGCAGGCAGGCCCCCAGATGCCCTCCCAATCTAGTGGTTTGGTGATGTGCCTCCTTCCTCCAAGAAGAAGAACCTTGCGGCTGATTCTCTGGGAAGAGTGAGTCAGAGGAGCTCTGGATTTGTAAATCTCTGGCACAGTAGAGTAGGAATTAAGTTACAGTTTATAAATTAAATATTGAGAGCCCCTAACCCTTATTCTCTCACCAGAATGCTACCAACCAAGTACCTTTCAGAATGGAAGAATCTTCTCTGAAGAGTCTGACTTGCATGAAAGAAAATACCTAAAGTTACAGATATTTTGATAATTTTCCAAGGAAACAGTTGTTATGGTTTGAACTGTGTCTCCCTCATATATGTTGAAGTCTGTTATGGACTGAATTGTGATCTCCCCAAATTCGTATATTGAAGCCATAAGCCCCAAGGTGACTGTATTTGAAGACAGGGCCTTTATGGAGGTAATTAGGATTAAATGAGGTCCTAAGGGGGCCCTAATTTGATAGAACTTGTGTCCTTATAAGAGACACTCACAAGAGCTTTCTTCACACTTGCACATAGAAAAGGCCACGTGAGGACACAGGGAGAAGGTGGCTGTCTACAAGCCAGGAAGAGGCGTCACCAAAAACCAATCCTGATGGCACCTCTATCTTGGACTTTCAGTGTCCACAACTGTGAGGAAATCAATTTGTGTTGTTTAAGCTCCTCAGTGTGTGGTTATTTTGTGATGGCAGCCTGATCTGACTAATACAAAGTTCTAACCCCCAGGACCTCAGAATGTGACATCATATGGAGACAGGGTCACTGCAGATGTCATTAAGATGGAGGTCATACTGAGGTACGGTGGGTCCTGAATCTCATGTGCCTGGTTCCTTGTAAGGAGCAAAGAAGCGACTCTGAGTCACAGACACATGGGGGAGATGACCATGTGAGTGCAGGGGCAGAGTGTGAAGTGCTGCAGCTGGAAGGTAAGGAGCACCAAGGACTGGCAACCACCAGACGCTGGAAACAGGCAAGAATGGATTCTCCTCAACAAGTTTCAGAGGGAACGTGGCCCTGTCCACATCTCAACTATGCCCTTCTCACCTCCAGAACCATGAGACATAAATTTCTGTTTTTTTGTTTTGTTTTGTTTTAAGCCATTCAGTTTGTGGTATGTCCTCTCAGGAGCTCTGGAACAGATATAGTTGCCTCATCATATCAGCCTACATTGAAGAGGATATTCAAGCCTCTTCATGGGCACAGGGCCGCCAGCCAGCTTGTGATTATCATACTCCAACATGAGCGGTGGACCAAGGACTACGAAACATTTGAGAAAATCAAACATGAGAGACAGGCTGAAACAAACAAACAGAATTCAATGGAGAATTGAAGAAAGAACACATCTAAAATACCATCATTCATAGACTCAGGCAAAAGGGAAGCTATTTTAAACAACATAAGAATAGGACACTAGAGGAAAAGGAACATTCATTGAATGAAAAGCACTCTTAGAAATTCAACACACAGGAGTAGGAATTAAAAGATTAACTAAAGGGTTAGAAGATGAAACTGAGAAACCCATCATAAAACAGAACAAAAAGAAAAAGTGACAGGAAAGAGAAGAAAAAAGATCAGAAAATTGCCTCTCACACAGCCTTCTTGGGAAGGATATATTTCATTTAAATGAGGAAGTAAAATAAAAAGGAGGAAAACAGGAGACTAAGAAATCTGAGGATCTAAAACAAGAGCCAGTCTGGAATATCTGATGGATGATAACGCACTGAGAAGAAATCTACACAACTGTGGAGAATTCGGGTCTAAATGCGCAGTAATAGAGAATAACACATAAGTGAAAAATCAAACAAACAATAAACAAGACAATGAAGAACACCAGGGAAAATAAACTACTGTGCAGGAAAAAAAAAAATGATAATGGTAGGACACTGTAGAGACCAAATGCAAATAGTGTTTTTATAGCGAAAAATACTATGTAACAGGTACTCTTACATGTCAGCTACTGATTTAAATGCTTTATGTTCATTAACTCACAGAATTCTCACAACCACCTGAGGAGGTACTACAACAGTTTTCATTCTACAGATATGAAAACTGAGGCACAGAAAGGCCAAATAGCTTGTATGACGACACAGCTAGTAATAGATAGGGCTGGGATGATAACCCAGCAGCCTGGTTCTAGGTGTTCTTTATCTCTTGAGTCTATTGCTTCTTTCCAACTTGGCCTAAATAATGCAAATATTTAATACTGATCCAAACCAAATTACACTGTTATGACCCTGGGAGGCTATCATGGACAGGGAAATATGCATGTGTATAGTGACACTGGGTAGCTACTATTAATCATCTTTAATAGAAAGAAGTCAACTGATAATGTCCATCTGAAAAATTAAGAAATAGCAATATAAGCCTGTTATTTAGATATGGAAATAAATACTAAAGGATTCAGATAAAAGAGCTGAAAGTAGTGGAGTCAAGAGAGAAACAGGGATGGGGAAGGTGGGGAACTGTTGTTTTTCATAATAAAAGCTTTACAAAACTGATTTTAAAATTATAAATAAGTACAGCTCTGATAAAAATAAAAACTAAATTAAAAGTAGATCAGAATGGTAAATAAACAGATAAGCATGTGGCCTGACAAAACTAATTTTCAAAAAATTCCACCTTAATCAGAGGGTTAATCTTTACGCTTCCCAAATTAAAACCCTTGAATCAAATGACTATTTTTAATCCAAAATATGAAAAGATGGGGCACCTAGGTGGCCCAGTCGGTTAAGCCTCTGCCTTTGACTCAGGTCATGATCTCAGGGTCCTCCCTGCTCATCTGGGAGTCTGCTTCTCCCTCTCCCTGCTCATGCTGTCTCTCTCTCTCAAATACATAAATAAAATCTTTAAACACAAAATGAAAAGATGCCTGGGGAACACTTCTTGACAATAAAAAAATGTATACTTTCTTTACTGTATTTTTTTTTTTAAAGATTTTTTATTTTTATTTATTTGAGACAGAGAGAATGAGAGACAGAGAGCATGAGAGGGAGGAGGGTCAGAGGGAGAAGCAGACTCCCCGCCCAGCAGGGAGCCCGATGCGGGACTCGATCCCGGGACTCCAGGATCATGACCTGAGCCGAAGGCAGTCGCTTAACCAACTGAGGCACCCAGGCGCCCTCTTTACTGTATTTTTTCCTCTTTTATATCCACCCTAAAACTAGCAGACAACTTCAGATTTTACCAATTGAAAAGAACTATTAAGCTAGTATGTGTATTTGTTCATTTTCAGGAAAAATTAGGTCACTTTCAAAACCAAGTCAATAAGGTTTTAGAGGGCTATTTCTAAGCCTTTAAAAGAGTAATCTCCTAGAGTTTTAACCGTTCTTTGTTCTTGCTCACAGTAAATCTCGGGACCAAATGTCTGATTTTGATTTTTTAAGTGCTGTCAGCCAATCTTTTCATTGCCACGTTCTCCAACATTCTTAGAATAAGAACACGGTTTCCTAGAAAAGCTACAGCAATTACACACGACTTGGAAGTAAACACTCTATTTTCAAGTCACGAGATGGTATAAGCCTAAAAAAATTTGCAAAACCATACTAATTCTTCAGTAAGTTTACATTTCAATTACTGCAAGGCTGAAAGACTTTAAGTAGGCCATATCAGCCACACTATACAGGAAATTATATCCTAGGAAAGCTCTGTTTTAAAAATAGGCAAAGGAAGAAAGGAAGGTTGCCAAAATACACAGCACTTTCCATTTGTTTTGATTTGAGCACAGCATCTGTTTTACCAGGTGCAATCTACTATTTGCAGGCTTAAGGGGAATGGTAGTAGTTAGGGTGGAAAGAAGTAAATTAATCTAAAATGTTTGCTTTCTGAAAACAATTTTGAAGTAGATATCAGTGGAATTTAGGTAATAACCAAATTCCACAAAGAAACTGAGCTTTGGGTAAGTCAGACTGGACTGACTACTCCTTAACCCGGCAGAATCAAAGCTGAGAAAATAGACCAATCCACTTACGAAATGTACACTCTTCAACTCTTCTTCCTTTTCTTCTTCTTTTTTTTAAGATTTTATTTATTCATTTGAGAGAAAGAGAGCACGAGGCAGAGGGAGAGGCAGACTCCCTGCTGAGCCGGAAGCCCAACACGGGGCTGGATCCCAGGACTTGGGAGATCATGATCTGAGCCAAAGGCAGACGCTCAGCCATCTGAGCCACCCAGGCGCCCCTTTCCTTATTCTGAATATTCCTTTAGTCATTCATTCAAAAAACACTGAGTACCTACTATATATACCATGTACTGTTCTAGGTAGGGGAACATAGTTAACAAAACAACAAAACTCTACGGAGCTATTTCCGGTGGGGAGGACAAACACATACAAACAATATCAGGTAATATAAAAGGCTATTAAAAATATAACAGGGAAATCTGAAGGTTAACTGCTAAGAAACTACCATATGCAAAACAAAGCAAATGTGGATGGGTTCACTATATATGAAAACTTGAGAACAGAGTTCTAGTAAAACTGTTATGATCAGAGTTAGGTTCAGATTAAGTTTACGTGAGACTCAGCAAGAAAATAATATTCCAACATTTTGTCAAAAGTAAATTTAGATTGGAAATACTTAAAGAACTGCCAACATTTTCAAAACCTTCTAACTCCATCTTTTTTTTTTTTTTTTAAAGATTTTACTTATTTATTTGACAAAGAGAGGCACAGTGAGAGAGGGAACACAAGCAGGGGGAGTGGGAGAGGGAGAAGCAGGCTCCCGCTGAGCAGGGAGCCCGATGTAGGGCTCCATCCCAGGACCCTGAGATCATGACCTGAGCCGAAGGCAGACGCTTAACGACTGAGCCACCCAGGTGCCCCCTAACTTCATCTTTAATCATTTTGATCATAGTTGATTTAGATGCTTATGAGTCCTGTCCTGGTACTGACTGGTTAAGCGGCCTCAGTGCCCACCTTCTTAAAAAATATCCTTATTTTTGTGGCCCTGGAAGGTCTACTTTGGACGCACGTCCACTGGCAGGTTGTGGAAACTTTCTACTTCTTTGTGAAGCTAGAATCCTCACCTACTTTTCTAAAGGTAGCATGGTAGCAGAGAAAGAATAAAACATTATAAACAAGATATCCAATCTGGTACCATTCCTGCCTTAATGATCCATGTGACCCTGGACGAGTTGATTTACTTCTCTGAGACTGTAATACTGAAATATTTTCCCTGCCTACTTTATTTATTGATTTAGAGTTGTAGTGAGGGCCAGTGAGATATTATGGTACACGGAATAATGTCTCCCTCCCCCAAAGATGTCTATGTCCTAATTCCTAAAACCTAAGAATATGTTAGGTTATGTGGTAAAGGAGAAATCAGGCTGCAGATGGAATTCCGTTTGCCAACCAGGTGACCCTAAGATGGGGAGAGGATCCTGGTTTATTCAGGTGGACCCAATGTAATCACAAGCATCCTTGTAAGCAGAAGAGGGAGGCAGAAGAAAGAACCAGAGGGATGGAAACATGAGAAGTCTCAGCTCAACGTTTCTGGCTTTGAAGATGATGAATAGAACCATAAGCCAAGGATGCACGCAGCCTGTAGAAGCTAGAAAAGGTAAGGGAACAGATTTTTCCTTCGAGCCTCCAGAAAGAGTACAGCCCTTTAGATCCATGTCAGATTTCTGATCTCCAGGACTGTAAGAGAATACCTCTGGATTGGTTTAAGCCAGTAAGTACGTGGCAATTTGTTACAGTAGCAATTAGAAACAATAATATATAAAAGTATTTTGAAATTGGTAAGAAATCATACAAATGCAAATGTTCTAATGTGCTATCTCAGCTTGGTCTCTCTAGCAGCCTTGATGGCAGATAACATGGTCACCAGGTCTTCTGGGCTGTATCATATTTCCTTGTTAAAGGTAAATGCCCTGCCTTTTCTGTTCTGATGCCTGACCATTTCTGCTTTTAGGTTTCATTTCATTTGTGGAGAGATGATTACCATGTAACTATCAAACCAATTGCCTTTCTACCTCCCTAGTTTCTCAACTACTCCTTATTCTGCTGTTCCCAAGAGGGATGATGAGCAAACTTTTCAGTCACAATATTATAGCAAAATTATGTACAGATAATTCCTACTCTTTTAATGAGTTATTTGCTAAAAACTACAAGGCAATATGTGAAGTATATACCTAACTACACACATGTATGCATACATATGTATATATAGTAACATATATCAAGTTTTATAGTTTTTCCATCAGTTTCAATGTTACTGGATTCTCTTCCACAGGTTATCTTTAACTTATGAAGCAGAATTAAAATTTCAGGGTTAGACCATTCTTATTAATCCCAAACTTAGAGACAAATACAGTAATAAAAATTTGAGTATTAAGGGATTAAAACACACAAACCCATGTTTTTAAGTATCTAAAAATTAACACTAACAAAGTTAAACTGATGCACTGTAAGAAATAGATAAATACTTTAGAATGGTCAGTCCCTAAATAACACTATCCTTTTTGCTCTTTTACCATTAACTTACACATGACAGGCCTATTTCTTTCTTCTTTTCAAATTATTATACCTTCATATTTCTTACTGTTACTCCCTTTTTATTTTAGGGCATGGTATTTGTGTGCCCACTGGTAATATCTTCGTATTACTACAGCTTCTCATATAAACTTCATTTTTGATTTGTACTTAATTTTTTTCCAATAAAATCACCCAGATTTAGAGGGAAGATAGGAGAATACCACAAATACATACACAAAGACACAGAGGCATACCAGTTATTGCATATCCTGGGTTTATAATGTTTTATAGGGGAAATACGTGCAAAGTTGAGAAACTTCCCCCTGTATATTTCAATTGTAGTTAATTAGACTCAGAAAAAAAGATCTCCTTTAATAACAGTATGACAAATATTCCAAGTAAGAAGAAATGTATCAGCTAGTACAGTTGACCCTTGAACAACACAGGTTTGAACTGTTCAGATCCACTTATATGTAAATTCTTCTTTGATAAATATAGTACAGTCCTATAAATGTATTTTTTCTGCCCTATGATTTTTCTTAACATCTTTTCTCTAGCTTACTTTTTTTTAGAAGAAGAGCAGGAGAGTGAGAATCCTAAGCAGGCTCCATGACCCAGTGATCATGACCTGAGCTGAAATCAAGACTCCGATGCCAAACCGAGTCACCCAGGTGTCCCTCTCTAACTTACTTCTAATGGAGTATTTAACATATGTGTTAATTGACTTTACCTTATGGGTAAGGCTTCTGGTCAACAGTAGGCAATTAATAGCTAAGTTTTGGGGGAGTTAAAAATTATACGCAGACTTTCCACTGCGGGGGAACCCCTGTGTTATTGAAGCATCAACTGTAGAGGCTGATTTAAGAAGAAAAAAGACTGCAACTTCAATAGTAATGAGGTATCTGTATATTTAAATCAATTAAAAAGCTATGAAAAAAGGAAAAAGGTTTGGGGTGAGAAAGAATTATGTTCTCAGTCTACCTATAAATTCACAGGCTAAAAAACAGACCCCCCCCCCCAACTTCTTAAACTGGAACTTAGAGAAAATGAATAAGAGATCCAATTACCCATTTGGAAATCATACACTTACTCAAATGCCAACTGACAGTGAACTTTTTTTTTTGAAACTCTCCTTTGGAATTGTATTCAAAATTAGTTTATGAAGTTAATGAAGTTTAGTCTTTTTATTTATATAACATTTTTAACCAAAAACATTATCCCAGCTATTTCTAAAATGATTTTCTAGTCTTATATATCACAGATACATTAAGCTAGAATTAATCACTCATAAAACTATACTTACATATTCCTTCACGTTTTTGGTCTTCACAGCTTTGTATGAATAATATGCAGGATAAAGCATTCCAAACACCAACCTAAAAGTAAAAGTATGAGAAGACTAATCAAATACAATAATGCTTTTAACTACTTTCACCTAATACAAAAGTAGAAACTACATGGGAAACATACAATGGTGTATATTTGTATGAATGCAGATTTGTGTGCAGACTAAATCCACTCAGAAAGCAAAGTAAAAATATTCTCTCTTTTTTTTTTTTAACAAAGAGGATTTCAATATTCTAGGTACAGTATCATGGGAAAAAATTTATATTTTAAAAATCATCATTTAAAAAAACTTTCTCATTGTACACCTGAAACTCTTAACACCGTTAATTAGACTTGAATTTAAAAATAAAGCCTTTGTCATCACAAAAAATGGTCTATGGTTTCTTGAATATTTGGAAAATGTAGAAAATCACCAAAAATAAAAATTGTCCCAACCCTACCAGAGAGAACTGCAGGCAACATTTTATTGTATGCAAATCCTACTTTTTGTCCACGTGTAATATTCCCAAAACCTAAATATAACACGTGTGTACACACACACAACCTGTAATACAAAAGTGGTCCTTTATTTTGAGACGTACTGGCTTCTAATTATAATAATGGTGCTGTCAATACCTGATATATTACAACATGCACTGAAATAGCTCTCTTTAAACATTTATAAAATGCCTAAATCATTAACAAGATTTAATTTAACACCATCTGTTAAGATTATTTTGCCAAATCACAGATCCAACAGATATGTACAATCACACATACCATGAAAGGACAGACCCAGAACCGGAACAACACCTATACATGGCTTACAGTTGGCATTTTCAGGTAATACACCATGGAGTTTTTTGCCCTCAAATATTCTACAGTACGTATTCTTTTTTTTTTTTTTAAAGATTTTATTTATTTATTTGCGAGAGAGAATGAGAGACAGAGAGAGCATATGAGAGGGAGGAGGGTCAGAGGGAGAAGCAGACTCCCTGCCGAGCAGGGAGCCCGATGCGGGACTCAATCCCAGGACTCCAGGATCATGACCTGAGCCGAAGGCAGTCGCTTAACCAACTGAGCCACCCAGGCACCCCTCTACAGTACGTATTCTTAATACCTTCATTACATTCCACATTGAGATTCCCTTAGTTTGTTTAAATAATCCCATATAATAGGTTTTTAGTTCATTTCCAGGTTTTTTCGATTGCGCAGAACATAAAAACAGTTCTCTGTCCATTGATATTCACTTCCTCGGTAGGATGTTACTGCTTCAAAAAGTACATACATTTTTATCTATCATCAAAATGCCCTCCAGAGAAGCAGTTCCACTTTACATTACTATACATGGCTGATCACTGGCATCATTATTTATTTATTTATTTATTTATTTATTTATTTATTTAAAAGATTTTATTTATTTATTTGAGACAGAGAGAATGAGAGACAGAAAGCATGAGAGGGGGGAGGGTCAGAGGGAGAAGCAGACTCCCTGCCGAGCAGGGAGCCCCATGCAAGACTCGATCCCGGGACTCCAGGATCATGACCTGAGCCGAAGGCAGTCGCTCAACCAACTGAGCCACCCAGGCACCCTGGCATCATTATTTAAAAAACAAAGTTCGCCAGCTAAATGGGAGAAAAATCTTAATGTACATTCCTGAATACCAGTAAATATGATTTTCTTTTCAAGTGTTTACTGGCTTTTTGATGCACATGGTGTATGATATCCTGTTGTCTACTTTTCTGATCTATTTAAAAAAAATCTTTTGGAATAGTTTTAATTTTACAGCAACGTTGGGAATACACTATAGTTACCATAAACCCTAAATGTTTCCCCTCTTATCTACATATTGCATTAGTATGGTACATTTGTCACAATTCACAAACCAATATTGATATATTATTAACTAAAGTCCATATTCTATTCAGATTGCTTTAGTTTTTACCTACCATCCTTTTTCTGACCCAAGATCCCATCCAGGATAGCACATTGTATTTACCTATCCTGTCTCCTTAGGTCCTCCTGGTTTAAAAAAAAAAAAAAAATTCTCAGACTTTCCTGGGGAAATGACTTTGACAAGTTTTGAGTATTGGTGAATATCGGAGGAGATCCCTTTACTGGAATTTGTCTGATGTTTTTCTCATGATTAAACTGAGGTATGAATTTTTGGGAGGAGGACCACAAGAGGTGAAGTACCATTTCATCCTATTATATCAAGGACACACTATCAACGTGATTTATCACTGTTGATGTTAACCCTGACCAGCAGGCTGAGGTAGTGTTTGTCAGACTTCACTGTGAGGTGACTTCCTACCCCAACCCTGTCCACACTGTATTCTTGGGAAGGAAGCTGCTATGCACAGGCCATACTTGAACCAGGGAATTATGTTCCACCTTCTTGAGTGGAGTATCAATGCAAATTATCTGAAATTTTTCTGCACGGGAGATTTATCTATTCTCCATTTATTTATTCAATGATTTATTTATATCAATATGGACTCCTATGTTTATTTTACACTTTGGGTTTTAATACAGTAGTACTTCATTTTGCTGCTCAAGGCTTTGAACACTGAGATCTTTCAGTTCGCTCCTGTGTCCCTCTGACAGACCTATAATTGTGAGTTTTTTTTTTTTTTTTTAACAATGTATTACTTTCTGGCACTATATAATGCTCCAGACTCATCCAATGTATATCCTGCATCGTTCCTAGAATCAGTCATTTCTCCAAGGGGTCTTGGTTCCTTTCACTGGAGGGTGGTATTTAAGACCAAGTTCTGGGTGCTATACATGCTGGTACTGGAGTGTTGTAGATTCTAGGTCCTTCTTTATCTATTTTGCATATTAAGCAATTTTTGTCTAGGTTCTTGTTATCTTTTGATATTGTTTATAAGTTGTTTTGATATTGTTGTTTGATACTGTTTTGGTATTATTTACATATTGCTAAAAATACATGTTGAACTATGTTTGCTGGGCTGTCATTAAATAAATACCACAGAGGGGTGGCTGGGTGGCCACGGTCCTGTGATCGAACCTCACATCAGGCTCCCTGCTCAGCGGAGAGCCTGCTTCTCCCTCTCTCCCTCTGCTTCCCCTGCTTGTGCATTCTCTCTGTCAAGTAAATAAATAAAATATTTTTTAAAGTTTTTTTTTAAAGATTTTATTTATTTACTTGACAGAGAGAGAGAGTACAAGCAGGGGGAACGGCAGGGAGAGGGAGAAGCAGGCTCCTGCTGAGCAGAGAGCCCGACGTGGGGCTTGATCCCAGAACCCTGGGATCATGACCTGAGGGGAGGCAGATGCTTAACCGACTGAGCCACCCAGGGGCCCCTATAAATAAAACCTGAAAAAAAAAAAATACCACAGACTGGATGGCTTAAGCAGTAGATATTTATTTTCTCATAGCTAGAAGCTAGAAGGCCAAGAGCAAGGTGTTGGCGGTTTGGTTTCTTTTGAGGCCTTTCTCCTTGGACTGCAATGGTCACCTTCTCACTGTGTCCTCACATGGTCATCCCTTAATCGCTTTCTTTAATCTTTTATCTCCAAATACAGTTACATTCTGAGGTACTGGGGGTTAGGACTTCATATGAATTTGGGGGACACAATTCAGCCCATAATACCTATATTTATGAAGTTTTATATTAAATAGGTGTTTGTATTTAATATTAAATAAGCTTTTTCTTACACTGAGAATGAATATCTACATTTCTATATTCTTTGTTCATTTATAGTTTATTTTTTGGTGGGGGAGGGATAGTAAATACCTGTTGACTTTGTTATTCCTCACAAAAATGAACCCTGAGTTTGGGGCTGTTGTCACCAGTTCAAAGGAATACCAAGTCTTCTGCTGGGGATTTATCTTCACCACTGGAAGCCACATTAACAATCTCTGCCTTACCTAACAACACTACCCTGTGAAGGCTACTTTAGCAGAAGCCAATCCACAGACTCTGGATATAGGATTTTTAGCCTAGCCACAGAACCCAGGGCTTTATTTTTTTATTTATTTTTTTAAAAAAAGATTTTATTTATTTATTTGACAAGAGAGATAGATAGCGAGAGCAGGAACACAAGCAGGGGGAGTGGGAGAGGGAGAAGCAGGCTTCCCGCCGAGCAGGGAGCCCTATGTGGGGCTATATCCCAGGACCCTGGGATCATGACCTGAGCCGAAGGCAGACGCTTAACGACTGAGCCACCCAGGCGCCCGAACCCAGGGCTTTATGATTTAACACATGGCAACCCCTAAAAGGCACAGGGGTCATCCAGCCTAGTGAGTTCTGAGAAAGCAATAACCAAAACACAATTTCCAGGTCTGCGTGTTCATCCCCACTGCTGACACAAGGTACAAATCCCACAGTTAGCCGTCATAGTTCTAGTTTACATATTCGAGTTAATTTCAGTCCACTTAGTATTTCCCTTTAGAATTTGGATACAATCGATTATCTTCTATAGTCCCATGTCCTCTTGTACCACTGGATTTAAATTCAACATGACACTCTTCATTTCTGTCACTATATGATCTTTTGACTCCTCCTTCCTCTGCTATACTTATCTATCCAATCTCTAACACAGTCCTGTTGGTTTTTCCTTGGTGAGAGTCCAAGAATCTATCTTCCTATTTTATTTTCAAACCCATGGCCAGTGATACATTTAGGCTCATGCCATCTCCTCTGACTTAACTGTATAATTACCTAACAAAAGCCTCTGGCTCCAATATCCAATCAATCTTCCTAATATACCTGCTGCACTGCCTTGCTTAAAGACTTCAATAGCTGGCCTCCTTACCGCCTTGTTGACCAGCCCCTGTGGCGGCCCATCAGAACATAATTTGAAAACCTCTTCCTTATGTAAGCCATCTGTTCCAACATGGTTTCCTCAATTTGCCTTTTTTTTTTTCTTGCTCCATTAATGCCTTTTTTCCTTCAAGATCTACCACTTCTCCATAGACTTCTAATTGTTTTGAATTTTAGAATTTTTCAGGATTAATCATTTTGCCTTTAATATATTCTAGATTATATTTTTTTAATGTAACTGACTTCCAAAACATAATTT